TCTTGATGCTAAACAGTGTTACAGACAAAATGCTGCCTTGTGGGACTCCCTGATCCTGATTATAATGGTCAGACAGGGTTGAACCCACTCGGACTTGAAATTGCCTGTTATTTAAAAGTTGGATATAAATTGAGGCAAACGGCCTCGTAATCCAAAGTCATGTAAATCTTTAAAATCCCATGTTTCCATGTTGTGTCGTATGCTTTTTCTAAATCGAAAAGATCGACACTGCATGTTGTTTATTAATTATGGCATTTTTCACAAAAGATTCTAAGCGCACTAAATGATCGATGGTACTACGGTTTTTACGGAAACCACATTGTATATTAGTTATAAGGTGATTGGTTTCCAAGTACCAAACAAGTCGATTATTTATCATGCGTTCCATGGTCTTGCAAACACAGCTAGTTAATGAAATTGGCCTATAATTGGAAGGATCAGTATGATCACGTCCAGGTTTAGGGATGGGCACAATTATAGCATCGCGCCACGACGAAGGAAATTGTCCAGATGTCCAAATGTCATCAAAAATAAATAAGAGCGTCTCTAAACATGATTCAGGCAAGTGCTTCAGGAGTTGATAATGTATACCATCAGCTCCTGAAGCAGTATCGTGAGCTTGGTCAAGAGCAGTATGAAGCTCATGTATCGAAAAGGTTTCATTGTAGTCTTCCCCATTGTCTGAATTGAAATTAATAGATTTCTTTTCCTGCTGTCTTTGATATTTCTGGAATTCAGGTACATAGTTAGATGAGGAAGAATGTTTGGCCAAAGTTTCTCCAAGTTTATTTGCTATGTCAGATTTATCAGTTAATAATTCATCTCCACTTTTTAGATGCTTAATGCTAGATTTAGATCCCTTACCTTTTATTTTCTGAATCATGTTCCACACCTTTGATATTGGCGTGCGCGAATTGATGTTTGAGACATAGTTTCGCCAAGATTGGCGTTTATTTTGTTTAAAAGTACGCCGTGCTTTGGCGTTTAAAATTCTAAATTTGTTTAAATTGTGGACCATAGGATGGCGACGGAAATAATGTTCAGCTTTCTTTCGTGCCTTGCGAGCTTGTTTGCATTCAGCGTTAAACCATGGTTTACGTACATGAGGAACTGCAGAGGATTTGGGGATACACTTCTCAGCTATGTGTCTGAGCTCATCTGAAAAACAGTTGATGGCATCAGGAAGATCATGAAAAAGTTCTGGTTTGAGTATGTCAGCACAGAAAGTTTCATATAAAGGCCAGTTAGCCTTCTTAAAGTTCCATCTTGATGATGGAGGAACATCAGATGGATTCACGGGTTTGAGAATTGTTGGGAAATGGTCACTTCCACACAGGTCGTCGTGGACTGACCACTCGAATTCACTCAATAAGTCTGAGGTAGTAATTGATAAATCAAGAGCTGAATAAGTTCCTGTGCCAGGATCTAAATATGTGCTAGAACCGTCATTATATATGCATAAATCATTGTCTGAACAAAAGTCTTCTAAGAGTTTACCTTTAGCATTAGTTGTTGTAACACCCCAGAGCGGGTTGTGGCCATTTAAATCTCCCATAATGATACACGGTTTTGGGAGTTGGTCATATAAATTTTGAAGATCAGTCTTCTGAATGACTGAAGATGGTGAGATATACAAAGAACATAATGTGAATGCAACGTGTAAAGTGAGTCGCACTGCAACTGCTTGAAGATGAGAAGTAAGTGTAATAGGGCTATGGATAACATTCTGTTTGACTAGGATTGAAGAACCTCCAGTGGCCCTGTCACCCGGAGGTGAGAAAGAATGATAAGCATTGAAATAAAGTAGGTCAAAAGGATCTGTCTGCTTTAAATAAGTCTCCTGCAAACAGAATGCTGACGGCATACAATCCTGGACTAATAACAGTAATTCATTATAATTATGCCTTAGTCCTCTGCAATTCCACTGTACGATGGTGTTGGAATTAACTATCTTTTCGGCAGATTTATTGGGGATCTACCCCGCACTGTTTTGGAGGGCGACAAGCTGTGTGCCCTATATTGGACGTTTTCGGACACGTCCATGTCCTCAAGTGATCCATATTTGTTGTAAAGTTTGATTTTATTTTCAGACCCTTTTGGGGCTCTGCCACTTTGTTTTTTTGAATAATCAGGCTTAGGTTTAGTCATGCCTTTAGCAATTTGATGGACATTAGATAGCGATTGAGACTTTGTGGTTGACTGAGAGGATGCGTCAGGATCAGGAACTTGCTCTGATTGAGTTTGAGACATGCCAGAAAGTGGCTCCGCTGTTTGAGTCGATATTGCACTTGAAAAAATCTGAGGAGAATCGGTTTTTACCCAAGTCAAATTTGTTTGGCAGCTGGAAGATGATTTAGGTACTTTAGGAGTTGCCTCAGAAGGTTTTCTGGTTTTTGAAGCATATGTCTCTTGTTGGTCGCATCTTTGTACAAGTTGTTTAGCTTCGGCAAAACTAATATTCTGAGTAAATTTGATTCTGTTTATTTCCATCTGATGTCTCCAAATCGGACACTCTTTAGAGAAAGAGGATGGTCCCCTGAACAATTGGTACACTTTTTGTAAGTACTGTCACAATCTTTCTGTTGTGTGTGTTTTCTCACCACAGTGAGCACACACAACAGACAATGTGCAGGTATTGACGCCATGACCATACTTCTGGCACTTGAAGCATCTCAGTGGATTTGGTATGTATGTATCCACTTTGATGTGACAGTAACCAGCCTTTATTGACTTTGGAGCAGTTGGAGTCGAGAAAGAGAACAGATACGTGTTGGTTGGATGGGTTTCATTATTTTTCCGGGTTGTGAAGCGTTTAACATACATAACACGTTGTTCTTTCATCTCGGAGACAATATCTATTTCCAGCATGTCAGTAAAAAGTCTATCCCGGTCTCTTACTATGCCCTTGCTGGTGTTAAGCGTTCGGTGGGCAGAGACTGATACAGGAATGCCGACAAATGAGTCAGTTGACAGGAGGTTGGTAGCCTGTGGTTTTCTACTACATTCAACTAGAAGTGCACCTGTCCGCAAACGTTTAATGTTTTTAACATCTCCTGCAATGCCTTGTATGCCTTTTGATACAGCAAAAGGGTTCAGCTTTAAAGGTGTTTTGTCAACGGTCTCAATCACAATGAAACGTGGCCAGTAGTCAATGGATGTGGGCAGTCTTTGGTCGTTAACATCAGGATCAGTGTCAAGTGGACGTTTCTTTTTTGCAATGGGGGTTTCGTAAGCCATAGTTATTGTTGAATGGTTCATCATCCGAGCTCCCCACCCTCCACGGAGTATCACAAGGACAATGCTAAAAACAGGCGGGCTTCCAGCCTGCAGCACCAAGGATACCCGGACGATATACGCAAGCAGAATAATACAAAGGTAAATATTCCACCTGATTGGCCCATGAGCCACCGCCTTCTGGGCATACGACTCTAGGCAAAAACACATATGAAATTGTGTAGTTGAAATTCAAAAGTTCTAAAAATTCGCCAAGACTTAAAAATAGAAGTTACAATATTCAAAATTTTGTGCAACATTACATAATGTGTGCTCAGGGCTTGGCGTGACCAGCCGATTGGTTGAACCGGGCCCATTCAACCACCCGTCTAGGTGAAGTAAGGGCCGAAGTGGTGTGTTGGGCAAAGGAACACTGTTCCTGGAACCAGTGCCCTCAACCACCAGAATCCCGTCCTCCACCGACACAGGGGCGCAACCCACGGCAAACAGGTTGGTGGACCAAATATGCCCCCGGGTCCACAACGGGGGGGTTGAAGGGCTCTTAGCGTGACCCAGCACCCACCACGAGGAGGTGGCCCTTCATGGGTGCCAATAAGGATTAAGTATACAGATTAGCGTCATATAAATAATTACAATTATTAAGTCTCACATGGCTTGGCCACATAGTTTTTTGGTCTTTAGAAACATTTGGACGATGGCCTTCCTGAGCTAGACGCCACGACAATACTAATGTCAACAGAGAATGTCCATCCTCGACACAATGTGGCTATGTTAATGCACCATGCACTGTATATACGAGAACGTGCATGTACTACTCTCCCATTATAACCGTTTCTATTTCAGATGGTTTGACTCAATGAACGTATATGAGTACATTACTGCAACCACTAATGTGATTACCTCACGGGTGGTCACTATGGAAACTAATGGTTCGACGTGTACTATCTGACAAATCAATAGATGTTAAGCATTGAACAAACATAATTTCTCTTCACTCAAATAGCTGTCACAATTGACTCATTTTCAGGTTGGAATATCCATTGTTTCGACATACACATGAAATGTTTCCCATTCATTCCGTAATGGTTATAACACCACGCATTCTTTCTCTGAGATTCCAAGTACAAAGCAAACCTTTTCGGCTTCTAGTGACACATCATCCAGAAAATGAGCATTTTGCACCTATCAGTGATAATGTGGAAAAACGTCAATCCCCAACAATGTAACAATAGCAACGAGCAGAAAACAGAGACTCAAACGATTCAGCAAACCATAACAGATAAACCAAATGAAAAATCCCGTATAAATGACATTGTACCAGTTCATAGTGAGACAGACAACAACCGCACGGAGGCGAGACGTTTGTGTTTTGGAAGCATACTAACTTCACATAGACAGTTAACCATCCAATACAGAGGAAGCCTCACCACCATGTTTCTGAATGTGTTCGTTCTGCTACATGCCCTGGTCATGACATGTGGAACTGACTTTTCGCCTCTGTACAAGTTACATGAAACAGTCACCAAAGGCTACAATCCACACATTCGACCTATCAAAAACCCAAGACTGGCTACAAATGTGACGGTGGATTTTATGTTGAATTCTGTGGAGGAGGTAAATGAGGCCAGTGAAACGTTAACCTCGTTTGGGACTTTCAACATCACGTGGTACGACGAGTGGTTCGTGTGGAACATTTCAGACCATGCCAACATTCAGAATATTATTGCCACTACATCAAGTGTGGAAGCCAGATCTGGTTGTGGCAAATGCCGTTGAAGACTTTGGGTTTTTTGTCAGATGCAGAAGGACTCGTGTCTGTGACCAACACAGGATTTGTCACCTGGTACCGGACGATAAGACAGATCACTAAATGCTCCATGGACATGAGCAGGTTTCCCATAGACAAACAGACGTGTAGCCTGCGTATTGTTCAGAAGACATCCAATAGTAATGATGTGTTTGTGCAAGGTGGGTCAGTGATGTCAGACTACACTTCATTTCAAAGTCGAGGGGAATGGATAGAAATGGAAAAGGGTACCAAAACAAAAACTCTTTTCCTCGGGGAAACAACATGGAACGTAATTTCGTTTACATTTACCTTCCAACTGAAGCCCCTGCACTTTGTAATCACAAGTGTCCTGCCTGTCTTTCTGCTGTCGGTTCTCAATCTGGGCGTGTTTCTTCTTCCTCCTGAATCAGGGGAGAAGATCTCGCTATGTATCTCAGTGTTCTTGTCTTATGCCGTCATCCTGACAGATATCAATGAAGATCTACCCCATTCATTCGACTCACTTGTTACCTTCAAAGTCTATCTTCTCACGATGCTGTTGGTCAAAGTGATTACTGTTTTGGCCACCGTCGCCATCTTGAAAAGGTATCACGCTGAGATGGGCGCTCATCAGCTGTCGTCTGCTTCATCCCAGGAAGGACTTGATGGTGGAAATTCAGTGCCTGATGATTGTAAAGGAAAATATCATGAAAGAAAGATGTCAGCAGATGCTCTGAACAGAGTATGTTTTCCAGCCATCAGCTTGATAATGATTGCCACAACAGCAGTTTGTTTAGTTCTCTTACTGTTTTGATCTGTCCTGCTGGAGCAAATCTGACATGACACTGTTTGTCAATCACTATTATTATTATTATTATTATTTTATTATAAATCATTTATATAGCGCTGAGTTCCAGCTAGGCTGTTTTTCCTTCGATCATAGGATGGCAGTCTCAACGGCACTTTGTATTATCAATCTCAGCTACGAGGGGGGCATACAACTCTTGGTGCTACTAGGCATACCGAGTTAATGTGGCTTTCCCATCCTTACGAGGTACCCTACCATTGATGAGGACCATGACAAGTTAGTTAGGAACAGGAGATATGCCATAAAAATACCACAGCATTCGGGACACAGAGTACTGTTAGTGACTGACGAGACCATCGTTATAGGTTACATCCAGAGGGAGGAAGGAAAATAATATTAACAGAACGTGGTTACGCTTTTGTTCAGATTGACGGACTCGATCAGTTGCAGAGTAGAACCTTGTCACTTACCGGAGAAGATCAGCATCTTAGTAGATTGCCTTACCCAAAGAAGGTGGTGGGGTAGCCTAGTGGTTAAAACGTTGGCTTGTCACGCCCAAGACCCGGGTTCGATTCCCCACATGGGCACAATGTGTTAAGCCCATTTCTGGTGTCCCCCGCTGTGATATTGCTGGAATATTGCTAAAAGCGGCGTAAAACTAAACTCAGTCAGTCAGTTACCCAAAGAACAGAAGGCCATTCCAACAGAATTCTCACTCACCCAGAAGTGTTCCCATGGATTATCACGGGCCTCATTTCGATCTCTCCCTATTTGTCTGAACATCATGTTACTTCAGTCAGCTACCAGACCCTCACAGTTTACAAATTCTTGGCAATGGTGTGCTGAATTTCGGATCGCTCTTGACATTCTCGGAGAACCGTCCAGAGTTTATGGCTAAGGATCAGCCCTCAGTAGTTGGACAACTGGAGCACAGAAAATACTCAACCCCTGTGTTAAACAAGAACGTGGATTTACGAACACTATAATAAGAAACATATAGGCAATACCAAAGGAGACGTTTACAGAGCCAAATGTGCTCTCTTCAGTAATACATATTATACTCTTTAAAAAGTAGAGGAACTTCATTTTTGATTTATGATTGAAAAAAAAATGGGAGATATATCGGTGATTGTCATAATTAATGGTCTACAGTGATTTATCGACCTTCTTGAAAACAGTAAATATAAAGAATGACACCCCATGTACGTGCATGGGGCTACTGCGTTGTCCATCTAAGTAAACTTAAAGGAGAATACGAACGAAAACAAAACTTTTGATATACTGTAAAGGATATTCTAAAAGTCACATTCCGTGATTAAAATTGAACAAAAAGTTTGTAAAATAGCAATAAAAACACAAAAAACGTCTTCTGCAAATGATTATGCCCTAAAAAATAGCATTACTGTTATTATTGCTAAAATACCTGGAATTTGTGTTGAAAAAAAAAAGGAAACAATGATGGAATTTGACTTCAAGTTTACTCAAAACCAACTTCTGACGAGGTTGATTGACCGAAAGCAATTACGTCATCGAACAATTCAAGTGACGTTACAACAGAACGTGGCGATATTCGACCTTGGCCTTTGACAAGACCATGGCCTGCAACATGTCCAACTATGTCAGACACAACGTCAGTTTTCAGTGTTTGGTTTTGGTCCAACAACAACGTTAATAGTGCAATTGTTAAGGTTAGCACCCGCAAGAAAGCCAACATTACCGCTATAGTGGGAATTCGGGCTGCTTTGACTTGTTTGCCCCAGAATATCTGCCGGTCCAAAGCCAATGTCGAATGAACCGTAAGCCCAATGCACCCACTATGACCACACTTCTGACAACAGAACTGATAGTGGCCCATCGTTAAGGTTGAGCGGTCCAATATCATTTGCAGCGGCCCGCAAATTTCTGATAATAGGAGGGCCGTTGCATGATAATTCCATGTATTTTAGCTATAAATATAGTTATAAACAGCAACAGACAGGCGAAGAGTTAACAATGGACAGGTAAAGAAAGGAATAGCACTTTCTTGGACCAGTTGATGTGATGGCAGAAACGGTCAAGTGGATGACCAATTAAGGCTATAAATGTCATATACAGTACAACCAGAACTTATTGAGAATTTAATGATTGTAAATTTTTATATTTTTTTCACTCATTACTCACGTATTAAATGTGAAAATTAGCAGAACATAACTCCAGATTCAAAGACAGGTGAACAGTTAGTATTTTGTCAAGTCACCATGGGCAGCAATGCAGGCTTCAATGCGGTGGGGCATACTACTGATCAAAGAAGTTAGAAAGTCGTTGTCCATGATATCCCAATATCGGACCACCTCTTCTTTCATTTCAGCAATATTTGTCTGATTATTCTTATTGACACTTTCCTTCATAAGTCCCCAAACATTTTCTATTGGATTTAGGTCAGGGCTATAGCTTGGCCAATCTAATAATGTCATATTTTGGGTCCGAAACCAGGCCTGTGAATGCTTTGAACGATGTTTTGGGTCGTTGTCCTGCTGGAAAATCCATAAATTTCCATAGAACACGTGAGCAGATAGAAGTAAATGTCCCTCGAGAATATCTGTGTACCGCTCACTGTTCATATTCCCTTCAAATACATAGAGGGGCGTTGCCCCTAACACAGATATGCCACCCCACACGTTAAATTTCGGACTGTTCTAATTGTCTCCTTACAGACAGCCACAGTTCCTCTATCAATCATATCCAGCCTTAAGTTTTCTAAACTCCTTCGTTTGTTTTTTAGAAATAAGAATACCAAGCCGCCTCCTGTCACCAACAGTCAATTTTCTGGGCCTACCTGCGCCTCCCTGGTGCTCAATGCCATATCCATTTGCAATATTTTTCAAAACACGATAAACAGTGGACAAAGGGCCGCCTGTTCTACTTGAAATCACTTTAGCTGATCTGATGTCCTTGTTATAATACTCTAAAATCAACTTCCTCTTCTCTGTATCATCCATACTGAGGATCACTGAAAATGTCGTCTGCTAGCAAGTAAACAAAGGGGGATAACTCTTCATAAACTAATAAAAAAGGATTAACGGAGTTGTCTCTCTTGAATGAAACCAAGCACTTGATAGCTGGTCAAGGTTGTTTACACTAGAAATCCAATTAAACATATTCCTAAAATTCTCAATAATTTCTGGTCATACTATACATGTACAGTAACCAATTAAAGTGGTACAGGGTGGCTGACAAGTCAGTGTACACTGCGGTAGTGAAAAGGATTAAGTGAGTGAGTGAGTGAGTTAATATTTAACGTCACATCGCCAATATTTCAGCCATATCGTGACGAGAACATGCGATATTAGAATGAAATATATGTATATTATAAAAAAACCTGCCGACGAAGGACAGTAAAAATACTAGATAATCACAGCTATCAATATAAAACTAGCGAACAAAGCTAAAACATTCCAATTAAAGAAGACAATACAATGTAAAAATGGGCTATAAATCGCAAACAACTGAAGGTAGATCACCATACTAGAGACCATGGGGACTTACAGTGCCTTTGCTACCTGCATGGACCCTAGTTGGATTTACACCATCCCTTCAGCCATTGGCGACAGAAGAGAAATCTAGCCATAAATTAAAAAAACACACTTATTCTACGATTAAAAGCAGGTACACTTAAATTGACTTTGAAAGTTTTGGGACTTACGTACCCCCTCAGGAGGACAATAATTTTACGCTACGTCAACCCCTTTGAGGGTACAGCCACTAACAATCTAAGTTGCTAATCTAAACTACCAATAATAAAATATATACCTATTTACAAATCAGTCAACAAATCTAATTTTTTAAGAATGCAAGAATTAAATGAGAACTGACATTATTAAAAAAGATCCTTCAGTGTTTTGATGTGAAATAGATATCCCTTGTGATGGAATATTCAATGCAGTCAAGCAAGACATGCTTGACTGTGATCCTTTCATCACAAGGGATACAAAACGGAGGATCGTCGCCTTCAATAAATATTCATGAGTATATCTGGTATGGCCAATGCGACATCGTCGCATGATGACCTCCTCAAATCTGGACTGACAACCCAAGTAGGTATTACCAATGTAGGGTTTTATTGCATGTAATTTATTAATACCCACTTGGGTGTCCCACTTCTTTTGCATTAGATCGCGGATGTATGTTCGAATGCTGGCTTTATAATCAGAGTATGGGATAAGAAGTGGTGTCACAGATTTGTTGAGGGCTGCCTTTAGCAGCAATATCAGCCATGGTGTTCCCAGAAATGCCAACGTGGCTGGGTAACCAACAAAAGACGATGTCGCATTGGCCAGTAGCAAGTTCATTGTACAATTCAATAATTTCTAATAAAAGTGGATGTTTGCAAGAAAGATTTTTAATAGCCTGAAGACACGAAAGAGAATCTGAAAAGATGATATATTGTTTATATTTACGGTGTTTATTAATATATTTAAGAGCTGTTAAGATGGCGTTTGCTTCTGCTGTAAATATAGAGCTGTTATCTGGTAATCTAGAAGATATTGTTCTGATCCAATAACAGTGGCACATGCCACTGCGCCACCATCCTTGGACCCATCTGTAAATAAGGATTTGTATGTAGTATATTTATTTCTTAATTGACTAAATTCTTGTTTATACTGTAATTCATTTGTTTCTGATTTTTAAATGTAGTTAATGTTAGATCAACTTGTGGCCTAAACCAATTGCCAAGGCGGAGAAGAAAGAAAACGGGAAGGAGCTATATGTTCTAGCTCAATGCCAGCAGCAGAAAGAAAAGGTTTCACTCTTATACCAAGAGGCGGAACAAGAGAAGGCTTCTTGTTATACAGATCTTCATATAGTGGATTAAAGACACAGTTATATGCAGGGTTTGACTCCATTTGAATAAAGTTTTGTAATATACTGTAAAGTTAATTTTATACGGCGTTGTG